CTTACAATAAGCCCCGCATGTTCACTCTACCTTTATCAAATGGATAATGGTATCATAAACACACTTCCAGATTCAAAAAATATTATTTCCAAATCTGGCACGTATATAGTTTTGAAATTTGTTCAACTGTATTAAATCGATTTGAATGGACATTTCTTACCAATTTTGTTTCGAATACCTCTTGATTCATCTGCTGGCAGCACTTACTGGCCCTTACCGGCGACCAACTCGTCTGCCCGCAAAAGCAACAACGCCTAAATTTCAAAGCTCTCCGGACGTCCCATCGAAAATGCAATCGAGATATGTATAAGAACAATCTTCAACTGGAACGTACTCACCAAATCAATACATCCGGAAGCACATTCCCGATGCTTATTTTTCTCTCGCATGCCCGTCGTCGTCGAACGGCAAAAAAAGGGAACTCTGTGAGCAATTTTGTGATACGGAATTTTCACTGAACATAAACCGCGAATTTACGTGAGCTGGGCTTCGTGTATTCAAGGTCCGGAAGGCACCGAACCGGCGTGATCAACAAAACACGGCGGCCAAATCCCGCGCAAGGAAGCTGTATCGAGAGTGGTCAACGAAACCGATGTGTGTGGTAATGGATGACGAAACCTACATCAAGGCAGACGCAAAGCAGATACCGGGGCTGGAGTTCTACGTTACCAAATCACGGTTTGATGTTCCGGAAGACATAAGGAAGAAGAAAGTGGACAAATTCGCCAAAAAATACTTGCTCTGGCAGGCCATATGCCAATGCGGTAAACTGAGTAAACCGTACATCACAATGGGTACCATCAACCGCGAATTTTACCGCACCGAGTGTCTCCATAAGCGTCTGTTGCCCTTCCTGCGGTCCCACGGAGGCAAGACATTGTTTTGGCCGGACCTGGCATCATGCCATTACGCGCGATCGACGTTGGATTGGTACAGAGACAGTAACGTTATTTTTGTACCAAAAACCGCCAACCCCCAAATTCGCCAGAGATTCGTCCGGTGGAAAGATTTTGGGCCATAATGAAGGCCAAAGTTTGAAAATCGTCCAAGGTGATCTTTGACAGTGTGCAAAGAGTGTATCATTTTTTTCATTTTTTATGCATTTCAGATTTGAGTAGAGTGAAAGAGATAAAATCAAAACATTCTAGTACATTTGGTGAAAATGCTAGTACAATCCAGTAGTAGTGCTGCCATGTGGTACACTGAAAAATTTCAAAATAGCAGGTTCGTCACCAAAGTGTTCTGTCACTTCGTTTGTGGTATTACCACAGACAAACAGACATATCACATTGAATATTTCTCACTGTAAAACATCGTCGCTTAAACATTACCACCATCTGTTGAGTACACTGTGGTGGCCACTACGCTGAACAGATCGCGGTAGTGTGTAAACGTCAAAAGCAAGGGAATTGACTGTGCGCGCCACAGGTGGAGGTACTACCAACTACGATACTTTTAAATTGTCCGTTAAATGCTTGTTCGATAAACAACTTGCCAGGATTATGTTTGTTTATCTGTGGTATTACCATAGATGTAACTCTAAGAGCAGAAGGTCGTGAAGAAACACGCTCAACTTTTTGGCTCAGCTCTGGTACTCTCTTCGGTCCAAGACTAATCGATGCACCCCTCGAAACATAGGAAATTCCACGAACCCCTAATTTTATATGTCAAACTTTCATAGCGAATCAAAACAAACATAGTGTAGTACTAGAATTTCGATTAGAATGGGGTACGTTAATCGATTTGCTTGAGACCAATAGGTTAGCCAAGTAGTGAGTCAATTTAAAATAGTTAGTTTCGTATTGATTGTTGGTATTACTGAGCCGAGGGGCACGCACTAGTCTTTCAATACTACGCAGCCTACTGACCAAATATTTAAAATCTTGTCATTACTGCTTTCATTACTTTAAATACACTCTAAATTTCATTAAATACTTTAAATACTGACAATATTTGATACTCAAATTATTTTCAAAACATTTGAATTATTTGCCATTACATTAATTATCGTTAATTATATGTTGATTACTTTCAATGCCGCTAAAAGAATTTTAAATCAAATGATTACTGTCCTCAAAGTATTTAAATTACTACGATGTATTTTAAATATCACGCACTCATACCAACAATCAATACGAAACTAACGATTTTAAATTGGCTCACCACTTTAGTAGCCTATTGGTCCCAAGCAAACGATTAACGTACCCTATTCTAGTTGAAATTCTATTACTACACTATGTTTGTTTTGATTCGCTATGAAAGTTTGACAGATAACATCAGGGGTGTGTGGATTCATGCAGAACATGCAGGGGTGAGTGAAATAGCTTGGGACTGCTTGGGACCGTTGCTCTGGTACTGAGTGAGCCAAAAATAATAATGATTTTCTTCGGGACCCAGTGGTTTTAGAGTTACCTCTATGCTCATACCTGGTAGTGTGCGCCCCTCGTACTGAGCAGTGCCACGATTTAAATTTTCCCTCTCCGAATTCCATGAAACTTCGCATAATTGTTCACTAGGGGCAATGAATTAGGGTTCGGCCATTTCGACGCACAAATCACCCGAATTCCAGCACAAGCTTGGTTCATTGCCCCTAGCTGACAATTACGCGAAATTTCATGGGATTCTGAGAGATAAAATCTAAAATTTGTTTATTTTTTCGCTATTTGAGCTGGAACTGCTCTACTTCTATAATTCCAAAATAGACCAGTGACCAGAAGGTTTTTAATCTTATTAGGTAGATTTCAAGCGTAGGCTAGTTCAACTTCAGTGACCAAAAGTGACGCTCGACTCGACTTACATAACAGGGCCCCAAGAATTAAATTGACTTGAATTGACTTCTCCGACATTATCAACGGTCTCATGCACCGCAGTGCGAACATAGATTTGAACCTTTATTTACTTGCAGTATGCATAGTAACATAGTAGTGCATAACACCCGTCGAAGTCGAACGCCGCGACCCAACATTGAGCAATTACGAGACACCAAAGTTGCCGAGGACTACGCGCAGCAGCCGGAAGCTGCACTACCCACGAAAGGCAGCTTGACGCAGCTACTCTTGAAGATGGCTCGATGGACATCCGTTCCGCCATAGGTACTACCATAGAGGTAACTCTAAGACCCGAAGGTCCCGAAGAAACGTACTCAACTTTTTGGCTCAGCTCTGGTACTCTCTTCGGTCCCAAGCTAATCGATTCACCCCTTGAAACATAGGAAAATTCACGAACCTCTCATTTTACCTGAAAGCTTTCATTGCGAATCAAAGCAAACATAGTGTAGTACTAGAAATTTGACTAGAATGGGGTACGTTAATCGAATTGCTTGGGACCAATAAGCTAGTCAAGTAGTGAGCCAATTAAAAATCGCTAGTTTCCACCGGTCGGTACTATGACGAGCACCTCAACGGTGATGCAGCAGAAAACGAAGGTGGCACGGCAGCAGACCTTGGAGCACGCGTAGAAGACGACAGGCTACCGGCCCCTGATCTTCAAGAAGTTGAGGGAGAGATCGGTCGACTGAAGAACTACAAAGCAACTGGTGTAGATGGATCAACTACCAAGTGAGCTATTAAAATACGGTGGTGAAGCACTGGCTAGAGCGCTGCACTGGGTAATTGCCAAGATTTGGGAGGAGAAGATAGTACCGGAGGAGTGGATGGAAGGTTTCGTATGCCCAATCTACAAAAAGGGCGACAAGTTGGATTACTGAAACTAACGCGCGATCACACTGCTGAGTGCTGCCTACAAAGTACTCTCCCAAATTCTATGCCGCCGTCATCATTTGCAAGAGAGTTCGTGGGGCAGTAGTTAGCGGGATTCATGGGTGCCCGCGTTACCATGAACCAAATTTTCGCGATTCGGCAGGTTCTGCAGAAATGCCGCGAAGACAACGTGCCCACACATCATTTGTTCATCGATTTCAAATCCGCATTCGACACAATCGATCGAGATCAGCTATGGCAGATAATGCACGAGTATGGACTTCCGGATAAACTGACGCGATTGGTCAAGTTGACGATGAATCGAGTGATGTGCGTTGTTCGAGTATCGGGGACACTCTCGAGTCCCTTTGAATCTCGAAGGGGGTTGCGGTGATGGACTTTCGTTTCTGCTATTCAACATCGCGTTAGAAGGTGTGATCGGAAGAGCTGGGATAGACACGAGTGGCACGATCTTCAGGAAGTCCATCCAGCTTCGTGGCTTCGCCGATGATATCGACATCATGGCACGGAACTTTGAGACGATGGCGGAAACGTATATCAGACTGAAGGCTAAGGCTAGGCGGATTGGACTTGCCATCAACGCATCGAAGACAAAGAGGTTCTAGGGAAGACAATGTTAGCCTCCCACCCTGAGTTGGTTATTTGGGCTCAGTGGTGACCACCGAAAATGATAACAGCAGAGAAATTCAAAGACGCATTATTGCAGGGAATCGTATCTACTTTGAATTCCGGAAAACGCTCCGGTCGAATAAAATTTGCCGCCGCACGAAGCTGATTACCTACAAGACGCTGATAAAACCGGTGGTCCTCTACGACCACGAGACCTGGATGTGAAGGCCCTTGGTGTCTTCGAACGGAAGGTGTTGTGTACCATCTACGATGGAGTGCAGGGCAGATGGATGACGGAACGTGGAGGAGGCGAATGAACCACGAATTGCACCAGCTGCTGCGACTACGGTGGGCTGAGCACGTCGTAAGAATGCCGGACGGCGGCCCAGTGAAAATGGTTCTCGAAAGCGACCAGTCGGATTTTTTCTCGATATTGAATCTTCTAAAAAAGATCTCCAAACTTTATGTAAAAGACCCTGAAAGACTTTAAAACTTCCCCAGGAAAATCACTACACTTCTCTGACCAGTTCCCTTAAATATGAAGAGCTTGCATTGGCATTGTAGGCAATCAGTACATTGATCTTAGCATATGAAACCATAACAAACATTTCAACTAAATATCGCACTATTAGTACCTATTCCGTTATACTTAAACCTTACCATACTTTCCAGGCGAAGGCGAACTCACCGGTGCAACCAACTTGATGGCCCACTATGGCCTCGAACATTCTTATAGTAAATTTAGTGGTAAGAAAGTAAAGGAGCAGCTCTCGTCGTTCCTGCCGAACCTGCCGGGCGTCATCGACGGACCGGGACATCTCGTAAGTATCCCGTGTTCATAAAATTATCAACTCGCACTTGCACGGTTCAAGAGAAATACCATATTTCAATAAGAAACTTCTTGACCAACAATTTAAAAGGGTCTATCAGTTTTTGTAAACAACAGTTTGTAAGCCTTTTCCTTGCAAAACGAAAGCCGCCTACGAGGAAATTTTACCCTACACGATGATGCCATTGATTTGCGTGGGCGGGCTTCGGGCTTTGTTTTTCAAAAGCTGATAGGCCCTTTTCAATTGTTGATCGATATTTCTTCTGTGGGCGAACGTCGCATTCTTCTCTACCCCCGCATGCAGTTTATACACATTCAGAGCGACGCCGATGCGGGATGTAACATGAGACGGAATAAACCAAAATAGAAATAAAAGCGTCATAATACGACATGCGTGAAAAGCAGCAGACCAGCAGGCGCCGTCCGGCAATATCAGTTGATCAGTTGCATTTATTATTGCAGTAGGTCACGATATTATTTATTTACATTATCGTCACCGATAAAATTTAAAATGCACCTAGCTCTTTCTTCACGCGCTTGTGGCGGCGTTCCTCTTTCTGCTTATCCAGTTCGGCGAACGTCTGATCCAGGCGTTCCTCAGCAATTTTGATGTCCTCCATCAAGGCATCGATCTCTGCCCATTCGTTGCTGCCGTCTGGTATTATAGCACTTCGGCCCGTTGGTCCAGAACTGTAGCTGCAGCCACAGCATTTTGTACAACAGTTTCCGCAGGCTGGTGCTCCAGTAGCGATGAGAATGATGCTCGTTAAGAGGAAGAACAACCGAATTGTTGTACTGTTACCGGGCAGTTCCATTTCAATTGGCTATATGTTGTCGAATAAGTTTCAAAAGAATGCGGTACCTGATCGCATAGTTGACTTTTTTAAATAGTTGCCTTATCGAGAATTGTGATTTTTATTGGTCATTCGTCACCTGATGAGCAGCTGTAATTTTTAACGACGTGTTGAACCAGGGTCGAATCTTAGCAGCGTTTTCAAAATGAAGCTGAGTGTTCCACCAAATCACATCGCTAATGTGTTGGTCGCAATATTAAGTGAAATCAGCTGAATGCGGCTAAATTTGTAATCTGAAAATCATTTCCTCATAGCACATTTTCCAGTTTCCACTAAACATCTTCTATCATTGCAGGACAACAGTTCACTCAGAAGCGTCATCGAAAAACCACCAATCGGTGGAAAAGATCTACTTCCTCTCACAAGCGTACAATTGGCTGGCTTCCGCCTGCATCCTGGACCAGTAAGATCCTATGCTCATGTTCTATCCCTATTTGAAATTTCTTTCACAAATTTCTTCTCCCTCTACCACCCCGCGCAGCTCCCGGAACAGTACAAGCACCTGAAGACGGCCCCCACTAGAAAGCATAAGAATAAGCATAAGAAACACAAATACAAGGAGGGTGTCGCGCCCCAGTCGGAACAGTCGGCGCTGGAGGCATCCGGGCTCGATACCCACGAGAAGAAGCACAAAAAGCAGAAACGCCACGAAGACGACAAGGAGCGGAAAAAGCGGAAAAAAGAGAAGAAGCGCAAAAAACAGCGCCACAGTCCGGAGCATCCTGGTAGCGGGGCTGCCTCGATGCCACCGCAAACGCAAGTCTTCTAAAAACAAAACAAACCAACTTTGTATAATCAAAAGAAACCTTGGATGTGGATGGAAACTTCACGCAGACTCAGCTACTGCAACACAACAACAAACAACAACACTAACGTCGTTAGTGCTAGTTATAAGTAAGGTAAAGATTAATATTAAGGTCATTTTTTCGGTCGAATGGGAGCTGGTTGCTTGTTCCCGGGTTTCCAGATGAAAAGAAAATCCCAATTCGCTAGACATATTAACAGTATATAAAGATGAAAAACAAGAAAACGTAACCCTTAGAACACGGTAACAATTCTTATCAAAGAAGAAGCACCACCCGTTTTCTCTGTTTTTGTTGATAGGTTTAATCGTACCCAGAACAGTTTTGCATACAAAAGTGATTCCTTACCACAAACTTATACTATTATATTGATTGATGATGATAACTAAAGTGTGAAATCGAGTATCGATTGCAAACATGAAAAATGCCAATTTTCGATAGTAGGAGTGTGTCAAAAAGATAATCCTCAATTAAAAAAAAATTAAATTTTATGCAACAGAAGCCTTGTTTTTCTCTTTGCAGAAGAAAAATTATTTAACAAAAAACAACAAAAACATTAAAAAGCCCAATAGCCATGTAAGTTGAACTATACGGTTAAGATCTTAAACTCTTTTACTTTGTCAATGTTTTCCCTTCGCGTGCCCTTGGGCGAAAATCTTCCGTAGGTCGTTCTTTTCTTACCGTCTCTGTTTGTACAGAAGTAAAATTGAAATATTCTCGGACGTTGTGGAGCAAGGTCTGCTCGAGCGATCCAAGCTGGTCGCTGACCTGTAAAAAAAACTTTCCTCTCGTAGGTGGATCAGTTCGATTCGAAGCGACCACCGACGGCGTCACAGAAAGCATGGTTTATCATTTTAGCAAACGTGTATTTATATGATTATTGAGTTATTATTTAATTTTATTTTCATTTAGCAATACATTTGAAGCAAGTGAAAAGTGAAACCTAGTATTGTTATCCAAGAAAGAAAGCCTTGAGTCAATGTCCCATATTATCGTTTTCGTTCGAACCGTATTTTCCATACAAAAAACACGGTTCGAACGCAAACGAGAATATGAGTAGCTGAATCCTGTTCACTGTTTCTGTAAGTCGCAGATTTAATGAGCCACCTCCGGCGAAGTCGCTTCAACTCCTCAGTCGATCTGTGTGTGTTTTTTTTTTGTTTTGGCAAGAAGGAAACCTTCAAAAGGCCATCATGCCACCGCTTGATGACTAGGAGTACAGTCGCGGTGACATGGTGTGTGGGATTCTTACCGCACTAAAACCTCGTTGGACGCTTTGCCCTTTTCCCCCGGAGCCACTCGTCGTATTACCAACAATCAATACGAAACGAAACGAAGCTATTCCTCGGGTGTCTAAGAAAATGGAGAGATGCTACAAATGCATGGGCTTGGGTCATCAGGCGAGAAACTGGCAAAGGCCCTGACAGATCTGATCTGTGCAGGAAATGCGGAGAGAAGGGGCACGTTGCAAAAGACTGTACAAAGCAACAGAGGTGCATCAACAATCAATACGAAACTAACGATTTTAAATTGGCTCACTACTTGACTAGCCTATTGGTCCCAAGCAAACGATTAACGTACCCTATTCTAGTCAACATTCTAGTACTACACAATGTTTGTTTTAATTCGCTATGAAAATTTGACAGATAAAATGAGGAGTTAGTTGATTTTCCTATGTTTCGAGGGGTGAATCGATTAGCTTGGGACCGAAGATAGTACCAGAGCTGAGTTAAAAAGTTGAGCTCGTTTCTTCGGGACCTTCTGGTCTTAGAGTTACCTCTATGGTATTACTTTGAAGGGGGCCGCCTCACTTTACCTTAGCTAATTGGCGCTTCCAGTTTGCTGATCGTCTCTCCAATTTGTGAGCCATTTAGCTCCCAGCGTCGCGTTCTACTCGGTTATCCCCGGTGGTGAATTCAGCCTACTCTGACTCTGACGGAGAGTTCTCCCGGCTTCGGCTTTCACATCGCACTTGTGTGAGCACATTACTACTTTCTAGTTGGTCCTCTCGCCATTTTCGCTGCAGCGCTGACATGATCTGCGTTACTGCTCTGTTGACGGCGTTAAAGGTGCCCTCCTCTCGACACATTTCTTCGACGACATTCTCCGTGCTAAGGGCGAGCATCTCCTCTCGCACAGCATCAAATCTAGGACATTCGAAGACCACGTGCTTTGGTGATTCTTCAACATTTCGGCCAGAAGGGTGACGTTGTGTGTCCGAACCGATGCAGGTACTTTTTAAAGCAGCCATGACCAGACAGGACCTGCGTCAAGTGGAAGTTGACTTCTCCATGTTTCCTATTCACCCAGGTCGAAAGAATCGGTATTAGCCTGTGTGTCCATCTAACGTTCTCTGCTGCCACTTAGTCATCGACACCGGTCTCACAATTTTTCGTACTCCTCTGGTTTCTCTCGTCATATCGTCGTAGTCCTCCGCCAAGGTGATGCCGATTGGGATCATACCGGCGATAACACATACCCCAACAAACAATCGTCTATTGAAGAAACGACTTCTTGGCCATTTTTATTCAACTGCATGCTTAATAGTACTTGTACTATTTTTAATAATAACTTCTGTTCAGGCTTTGTTCACACAAATCTGGAGAATTTATTCAACCTCAACATTGAACTACTGGTGTTGTTTTATAAGGTATGTCGAGAAGCTTTTATTCGACTTATGAGTTGTAACAGAGTTTATACGATAACATTTTTGATTATTCAGTGTTTATTAGACATCACTGCTTCCTTAAAACAGTGATGCTCTGTATACGCTTGATTCTCATGTGAAGTAACGTTTAATTAGACACAATTATACATTTATTAAACGATTATTCAACTGTGGGAAAATTAACCCGAAAATAAGAGGACAGGGGACAGGGAGGACAGGGGGGGAAGGGTGTTTTGTTTTGTGTTTCTTAAGTGGACCCCACACGATTACTTTTATTGACAATAATCGTATTGTCAATACATTCTATATTGACGTCAATACATCGAGATTGACAATATTTCTGAATTCACATCATCAATATTATTGTCAATAATTCCCCTTCGCGTCAATATATTGATGCGTGTAGGGTTTGCTTTAAGTGTATTGTATTTCAATATTTCTGACGTGGGCTCGCACCTCACAGATATTAGAAAATTTATTAAATACTTATACATGCCATTATTGTATGGGATACGAACCATGTACCTTCCGATCACCAGCCGCTTGCCTTGTCATCTGAGCTATCCTAGAATTCATCATATGGGCAACTCAATAATCTATAAAAGCTTGCATGAAAGAAGATACCTATCAGCACTCCCGATCGCAACTCTAGCTCCTTCAAGGCCCTGTGGGAATGATTAATCCATTCGTCGTTGTTTTAAATGAGACCAATGTTGCCTCTTCACATCTCCAAGTCGAAAGAAAGGATGCTCGGTTATATTCTAAATTAGATCAATGCATTCATTATCGTGAGTCATGTGATCGATATTACTATTTATATTAATTATGTTCTACACAAATAAAAAAAAAGTTGAGCTTGGGATTGAACTCACGATTTTCTAATTGAAAAGCGGAAACGGTAACCACTACTCTACTGATTTCGCCTTGTTGTAATACTGAATCAGTGTTGTCGAATAATGAATCTAATACGTCGTTTATAAAGCATTTACAAATCATGTGATTAGAACATGGACGCATAGTTGTATAAGAGCTAGTATGCTGACTGTATTCACCTTTATTCAGCAATATTGTAAAGTAATGCAATGAAATCTAATAAAGGAGCTGGAGAACATTAATTAGACGTCTTATAAAGCATGTTATTAAATCCATTGAAAACAGTCGAATTAAAGTGTCAATGTATGTACAAATTACACTTATTCAGTTTGTTATTAGATCGAACTTCTGGCGTTGAATTGGGACGACATTTAACACTTATGCAGCTTTTAATAAGTAAATTAATCAGATCAGAGTGGAACAATAAGCTTTTTCAGCACATAATTCGACAACTATTTTTATTCAGCATTGTACACTGTTATACAGCATTTATTCAATATATATGCTTATTTATGACTTTTAATTGTTTGTTGGGTGGTATAAGAGCTATTTTGCTGAGTGTATTCACTTTTATACAGCAATATTGTAAAACAATGCAAAGAAATCTAATAATGGAGCTAGAAAACATTTATAAAACGTTTAAAAAAGCATTTTATTCAATCAATTGAAAACAGTCGAATAAAAGCGACAATGTATGTGCAAATTACACTTATTCAGTTTGTTATTAGATCAGCCTTCTGGTTCTGAATAAGGAAGACAGTCAACGTTTATAAAGCTTTTAATAATGAAATTAATCACACGGCGGAATAAAAGTGCATCTATCGATCTCAATGAGCTTTTTTCAGCACATAATTCGACATCCTGTTTTATTCAGCATTGTACACTGTTATACAGCATTTATTCAATGTGTATGCTTATTTGTGACTTTGAATTGTTTGTTGGGAATTGTTCTGTATATGTGGCTGAACTGACAGCAATTCACTACGCTTTGGAAACTATTGCTTCACTTCTTCCAGACCACTACTTTATTTTTTTCGGATAGTCTCAGTTCTGTCGAGGCTATCCGTTCCATTAGGCCGGTAAAACACTTCTCGTATTTTCTCTTCGCGTGGGTCCCTTCGCATTGCTCAATTTTGGGCAATGAGAAGGCGGATTCACTTGCGAAGGTGGGCGCTATGGAAGGCGACATTTATGATCGACAGATCGCCTATAGTGAATTTTTCTCTATTTATCGTCAGCAGTCGCTCGTTAGCTGGCAACATCAATGGAGTGAAGGGAGCTTGGGACGATGACTACATTCAATTATCCCTAAGGTGTCGAAGTTTGCATGGTTCAAAGGGTTGGACTTGGGTCGAGACTTCATACGCGTGATGTCTCCTCTCATGTCCAATCACTATTGTCTAAACGCTCACTTGTTCCGTGTGGGGTTGGGAGACAGCAATCTTTGTGAATGTGAAACAAGGTTACCAAGACGCTTATCACATCCTTTGGTCTTGTGCGGACGTAGTGCTGTGACAATATCGATAAATCCAATATCATCGATAAATATTGGGTCCAAATGATCGATACGATAACCGAAATTTCAAAATCCGATATCGACGATAATCTGAATTTAATATCGGTTTGCTGGTAGCACTGTTTATAAATATTGGCGATGATGACATTACTCTTTTTGCTGGCGATTTTATGTCAGAAAGTGAAGGAGGGAAGATTTATGCTTTTTTCAATCACACGTCAATAAGAAACAGTTGGTACAAAGAGAGTTTCCCGGCTGAGCTAATCAGCGTTGCCAGATTGTTTTAAAGCTTATCGGTATCGAAGGTATTAATAAATCGGTATTTAACGGTATTTACTATTTAATGACTTTTATATTTTGCCGTTTTTGAAAGCAAAAATTTTAACATTGGTGACGACTGGGATTTGAGGGGAATTGCTTTGTTTAACAGCTTTCTCAGTCTTGAAACACTCTTTAATTTTTTGATTTAATTTTTAAAATTATCGTTGTCCATAAATGGTGATGGAAATTGTGACCAAGTAGATTTTTTAAAATAAATATTATTAAATGAAACCCAAATATATATTTAAATAACCAGCCACAACAACGACTAAACTATTGACAATAAGGACAAACAATATTTTCCCTTGAAAAAGGCCGCAAAAATTTTGGTTTTGAACTATGATCGAGAAATACCGGAAGAAAACTCCGGGAATGTTTGAATTAGCTTCTGAACGAAGCTGACAAAACATCCAGAGAAAGACGAAAGAAGCTCTCCTGGATGAAGTTCGAGTAAAGTCCTAAGAAAAGTTAGAAAAATATCCGGGAAACTTCCAAGGCACGAATTGAGAAACTTGTGGCGAAAATTTAAATAAACCATCCGAAAAAAATCAGATATCACATCCTAAGGAAGCCAGAAAAGTTTCGGAAATTGGAAGTAAATTTTCAAAAGTAGCCATTTCCAGGAAAAGCCAGAAGAAGCTTGGAAAAACCTTCCAATAGAAGTCGAACGAAAAAACCTTTGGCTTATCGTCAAACTTCCAGAAGAATACGAAATAAATTTATGGGAGAATTAATTGAACTTTCTGGAGAAGACGAATGAAACTTCCTAGAGACGCCGGTAGAAACTTTCTAAGGTAAATTGGAAGAAACATCTGGAGAAAGTCAGAAGCCAGAAGGCTTACGGAACAGTTGAAAGAAACAAATACATAATTCATAAAACATCCCTGAAGACTCCGCAATTTCCCTCAAGTTTTTAGAACATTCCTGAAATGCACTTAAGAATCTTCCATAATTCCTCGAAATTCCTTATAAGTTCTTGTAATTTTCCTGAAATTAGGGACTGTGACTACCGGAATATCTCTAATCATCTTTGAAGGTCTCTAGACTTTCTTAAAGATTACGAAATCTCTTAAGTGCTCGCACAAATTTCTCGAATTTATTGTAACATCAGCATTGAAGCTCTCTTTTTTAATTTTTTAATTAATTAAAGTTATCGAAACTGCCTCGCAATGTTCTACTGTTCATTTAACTTCGCTTACGTTTCCTAAATTTGCATGAGCCCCTCAGGACATTGCTGAAGTTTTCGGAAATTGTCTGAGTTTCTCGAAAATCCTTTATAATTTCAGCAATTTCATTGAAATTAATTGATCTGTCCTGATGTTCTCCGAGCTTCACTAAAGTTCCTGAAAAAACATTAAATTTCCCTGAAGTTTTTTGGACATGTGAAGATTCCAAAATATTTATGATGTTTCCTTAAGTTCACTGGAGTTCGCTGGACTTTTCTGAAATTTCCGGGTTTTCGAATTGTAACAGAAGTTTTTGAAACTGTCTTTAATTTATCGCAACTAACACAAAAGTCTGGACTTTTCTGAAGTTTCAGAACTTCTTAAATGTTCCTGCAGCTAGTGTGAATTCGCAATAAAAATCTGATAGCATCCTTGAAGTTCCGGAAAAGTTGAAAAAACTGGCGGGAGAAGATGAAGTAATTATTAGAGCGAAGGCTGAAGAAGCTTCCAGGGTAAGGTGGAAGAAAATTTCAGGGAAAGTTGGGTAAAACTAAAAATATTTCTCGATTCCCTAGGAATTACCGGAAAGAGCCATCGATTATTTCTCGTTTCATGGGTAGCCAATCAAAAGGAGGAAATGCAAACATTAGTCAAAAGAGTATCAAGCATAAGGTATATTTAGAGATGATTTTTTAGAATTTTGAAGGCTCAAAAAATATGAGGTATTCAAGAAGATACAAGTATCCCACAAAAATTTTCTCCGAAATTCGAGCGGGGGCAGGCAATAATAATTTTGATTATTTAAAAAATCGGTAAAAATCGGTATAAAATCTTAAAAATCGGTATTCTGAGGAACCTTATCGGTATATCGGTATCTAGTTCGGAAATCGGTATAAAAACCGATAAATCAGTATATCTGGCAACGCTGGAGCTAATGCCGTCAACGTCAACGCCAATTACGCAGTAATGAAAGAGACGACTATTGAGTTTTTGACACACTACTCTACCATTTAAATCGGATAAATACATAAATGAATATGCTTAGATAGTCATCGGAAGTCATTTACATATTTATGTAATTATCGTTGAAGATGTCCGAAGTTTGGAATTATTTTGTGAAAACGTCCACAGTATCCGCTAAGTGTAAAATATGCGGTTCAGAAGTTCCACGTCGCGGTAATACCACCAATTTGAAAGTTCATCTCCAGAAGCATCCGCAGAAGGACAAAACGCTACGGTCGCAAAATGCATCCAAGTGTCAGGATCAGGAACAAGATTTGGCTCAACCTCCTACTCCCAGTACAAGCTTCGCATCTGCAGAACCATCCACATCGGCATCCACAATAGATCGAATGTTTAAAGAAACGCAACTTTGGACAGGTATTTTATGTTATTTTTTTTGTTTTAAAATCAGTTTGAGGTTAAAAATTCACTCGTTTTTAAATATTGACTATGGGTAAAGCGAATTTGGAATTATACTATGGAGGTTTTCAGTCAAACTCCGTTCAAAAGCTTCCGCAAAAACTAGATAACTGGTTCTGAGTCATATATATAGAAGTCCATAGAAGTTCCAAGAAGTTTGTAGAGCTTCCGAATAACCCGTAGAACTTCCTAGAAGTCTGTAGAACTTTTGAGAAGTAGAACTCAAAAAATCAGTAAAATATCTGAAAGGACCGTAGATCTTCCAAGAACTCCGTAGAATATCCGAGAAGTCGTGTTGTGTATTATATGGTTTGTTGTAGTAGTTTGACAGATTATTTTCTGATACCAACCATTTTTCCCACTATGCCAGGTTTTTCGGTATGCATGATAATATAAGATGATAGGGATGAAACTGGCCTCCAAGAGATATTATACGCCGTTGTTCAGGGGAATAAAAGGGGTGATCGTGTAAATGGATGCTTTGCTTGTTCATGGTACTACAGAGGAAGAACACGACTCTACGTTGAAGCCCGTCTTACAAATATTCTTGTCTAATAAGTCTTGGATCGCTTTTTCGAGCTCGAAATTGTAGTATACTATCTCTAAATATATGACGCAGAACCAGTTATCAAATAATATATATTATAGCACGATTATTAAGCTCATGTTATTTTATTAATAATGGGAAATTAATTCTAACATTCTAGATGATGGACCGAAAACCAGAGAAATTAACGAAGCGATCGCATTCATGATTGTGAAAGATTATCAACCGTTCTCGATTGTGGAAGACGAGGGCTTTGTTAATTTATTGAAAATTCTGGCACCTAAATACAAAATTCCCAACCGAAAGCTCATGACAAAGCTAGTTGACGACAAGTATTCGAAAGTGGTCGAGTGTGTCAAAACAAAAATTCAAGATAAAGACTTGACCATTACTGCCGACATCTGGACCGATAGCCATACTACTAGGAGTTATTTGGGAGTAACTTGTCACTTTTTGAGCCCTCAAATTTCTACAAGTCTCCAAGCGATTGACTTGGGCGTTTATATCATGAATGAACGGCACAATAGTGCATGATTGAACACGTGGGCATGATTGTTACAGACCATGCGTGTAATATGTTAAAATCTGTTGCGGATACATTCTCTGAAGATACACATATTGGCTGTGTAGCCCATGCAATCAATCTCGTTGCGAAAAAATCCTTTGAAACTACAAACGCTCTATCAGAACTGATAGATAAAGTAAAGAAGGTAGTTGACTTTTTTCGGAGATCAACAATCGCAACAGATATACTGCACAAGCTACAGATTGAAGATGATGCTAAAAGAATACCTTTGAAAATTTAGAGATGAACAGGCTAAATATCTCTTTAATAAAGAATTAAAAAAAAAAAAAAAAAACCTTTGAAAATTACTTTATTTGTGCCTACCAGATGGAACTCGGAGTTTATCATGGTTAAACGGTTTCTAGAGCTGTACAACTCCATACAGATCATTATGTCGGACCAAGATCGCTCCTCAGAAATGGTTCAATTGGAGGGGAAAAGAAATCTGGAGGAAGTCGTCAAGCTACTACAGCCCCTTAATGAAGTAACCGAAGATTTGAGCGGTCAAGATTATGCGACAATAAGCCGGGTGCTGCCTATCATATACTGCCTGAACAATTGCATCACTGCTATGAAGCCAGTATCATCGGTTGGAAGAAACCTCCAAGCATCCTTGTTAAGAGAAATCCAATCCCGATTTGAAAGCTACCGATCCTCACCTCTTTATGGACCAAGTATGTTTCTGGATCCTCGATTTAAAGATGTTCATTTCAAGAGTGCTGATGAACGCAACGCTGCTACGGAAATAATCATCCACATGGTCCTACCTCAAGTTGAAGGATCTGATGAAGATTTTGTTGGCGAGGAGCCGCCGAGGAAGATCCCTACCGATAATGGGGTATGGAGTTACCACGAAGGCATGGTTCAACGTTACAACAACCGAAGGGTAACAATGCGAACGCCAGACTCCATTCGCAAGAAAATTGACATGTATATGAGGAGTGGAATCGAATCAATGACGTGTGACATTTTTCGGTACTGGGAGTGGGAGCAGCAGCAGAGCAGATTTCTATTTTTATACCAGGTGGCACTGAAGCTTTTGCCAAGGATTGCAACCTCGGTGCCATCAGAGCGTTTGTTTTCAAAAACAGGGCGAATTTTGAGTGAGTCTCGAAGCAGTCTCGATCCTGAAAGAGTTAATCGAATAATTTTTCTCCATAATGTTGATGCTTCTGGTTTTAAAAATGCAAAATAAACGCCGGAAAGCAACTGAGTACTTTAAAAGTGTATTTTTTAATTATTATCGGATATTGGACCCGATACCGATAATCAAAATCCGATATCGAACCGATTTCGATATTTTCAATGACCGATATCGATATTATCGATAATAACGACTTCGTCACAGCACTAGTGCGGAGTATCGTGGAGTCAGATCACATTTTTATGATTCCCTTCGGGTTCGAGGTAGACAACCTAATGTTCCAGTTCGGGATATTTTGGCTAGACGCGATCTGGAGTTTATCACCCATATTCTTGTTTTCGTTCGAACCGTATTTTCCATACAAAAAAACTTTTTTTTTGTATGGAAAATACGGTTCGAACGAAAACAAGAATACGGGTGTATGAAACTCATATATGTTTACTTTAAGAATATTAACCTTAGATTGTAAGTTTGATTAACCTTGTGTTTAGTTTGTATTTTGTACGTGTGAGTTTTTTTAATGTTTGTTTTCAAGATGAATAGAAATAAGTTCACGTTTTAGGATCAATTAAATATTGTATCGAATCAGATTTCAAACCTCCTACTCCCTTTCTCCACTAACCTCGAGGCAACCGCGAGTATTCGGTCCAGTTCCTTTAACTTTAAATATAAGACAGTATTAATGTATAACGAAAATGATAACTCGGCTCTGTAAAGTTTATTCGATTGAGCCTGTACAAATAAAGTTATTATAAAAAAATAAAGAAGTTCAAATTTTGGGAGGCTAAGCAGGAACTAATTTGGAACCGTTTAAGCACTGTGGAGCGAAAATTTCAAATTTTGCATCAGTCTAGTACCCATTGTCAATTTATCGAAAGGATATTGTCATCACAGATCAAGTGGGCTGCCATCGAATTGCATTATTGATAAACATTTTATTTCTTTTTTTTCTGTGTATTTTCATCAGTATCTTCACTGTGAACATTGCAACATTATTTCCATCTGTCCATCATAATTTGTCACACCTTGTATTTTTGTTTGAATTCATTCTGTTCAACTTCGTTTTCCTACTAGAGATTAAGTAGTCACTTAGGCATGACTCGGTTGTTAGTACCTAGTACAACTGTCCAGTCACATTTCCTGTGGATCGTATCGCCGGGTAATCTCACCTATTATACCTGCTCTATCTGTCCTGTGTGTGTGTGTTTGTCATTTTCGTCCTTTTTGTTAGGGTTTATTGCATAATTTTAGCTTTACACACGCGCGAAAACATAACACATTTGACTTCTTTTACATTGTTAAGCGCTTTTTTTTCTGAAATATACTCATGATTGATCAATATCACGCGAAATTTCGTTCAACAAATGACGGCAGTTAACTCTATTCACTACGATTTGTTGTTGTAGTATGCATGCATTTTTCTTTGGAATTTGGAACAATTGAAAGGGCTTGAAAATCTAACGCGGACCGAGATCGTTAAAGATACAGAACAGATAGTAGCTTGCAGTAGGTAGGGTGATTCAGGATTTGTGGGGGAAACTAACTGCCAACTTGGAAATTGAGTATAAGTTTTCTGTTTATTGTATAATTTCATTTCTCAATTGAAGCCTACACTGACAAAAATCACATAAAATCTCTTCCACAAAAAAAATAAAGATACAAAAAAAATCGGTACTTACTGAAGATCATTGGATATGGAAGTTGCCTGCTCTCAACTCACGGATGGTTCATGATTGGGTTAATATAGAATGGTTTGCTTTTTCCTGCCTAAGTTTTAAGTAGGACTCTGCACGTGCCGTCATTCTTCCACAGCCAATTTTCGGGAATAGGTGTAAAATATTGTGCTCATCTTCGCTCTGCTCATCTCTACGATTACTACTTCGATTTGCTTGTATGCTGGCTGGCAGCGCTTCCACTCTCTCACCTCTCCTAGGAGGGGGCGGCACTCGGAAAAGTTCTGAATCATTTGCTTACTTCGTTACGGTTTAGCTTAGAACTAAATATAGATAAAAATAGGATACTCCTTACTGAATCTGAATGTTGTTTTTTTTGCTGCTGCTGCTGCTGTTGCAACTACTTTACTTATTGGGATGCTGGTACAATCGCACGTGGTGGTGGTGGTGGTGACCGTTGGCAACTGACACAGCTGCAGTCGGTGGCGGCGCAACAGCCGAAGCCGCCGCCAACGGCTAGTATGGCTGTCGGTTGTTGTTTCCGGTGACGAACTCCTTAAATGCCAGCTTGATTTCCAGGTCCATGTTTTCGTCGTCCACCAAATCGTCAGGGTCGCCTTCCTCGTCGCTGTTTTTTTTTAAAGAGAATGACAATTAGCGTTCAAAATCTGGACAATTGCGACAAGATTCGAATGAACTTACTCATACTCCTCGAAAGCGACAGGGGCGGCCGTTTCTAGGAAATCGTTTTCCTCCTCCGTCATGACCTGGCCATCAGGGCCATAGAAAACGGGACTATCGTTGAATTCGTCAGCCGCCGTGGGCTCATTGTGAGGCGGTTGAACGACGGGAACTGGGGATTGGGAATGAACGATCAATTTTGAGCTCTCTCTAGGAACACTGCGACTGCGAGACAAACTTACCAACTTCCTCATTGCGACCCCAGGACTTTTGCTGCAGATCGAGAACCGAGCGGATGAAACGTCCAGTCGAGTTGTCGGTCGATCCCTCCATTTGGCCCAGCGTTTCCAGGATTTCCATCAGGTGATCGCGGCAGTCTCGCTCCAGTTCGAATCCACAGAGCTGCCCGGAAAGAGGAGATTATTGAAGTTTTGTTATAATGGAACGGTTATAAGAGGAAAGGTACCTTCAAGCATTGGCAGACGCATTTGATGTTCTCTGGGCCTTCTTTACTCAGAAGGACTTTGGTAGCGGCGATGATCCGCATAGCGATTTCGCCGTTCCGTTGTAAGTCCTGGGCACAGGGGGAAGAAAAAAGATCGCCGACATTAGTCCAAGGCAGTTAACATGACCAAAAGCACTGTAGTACTTACATTCGGTTTCCTCAGCTGCATGTACAGTTCAGCCAGGAAGAGTGTCGTACCGCGAACCTTGATCTGCTCGTTGGTCATATAGCCTTGCAGTTCCGAGTGTTGGTGGGTCATCTTCATGGTGAGCAGTTGCCGCAGCACGCTCTTCGGGTTCTCGTCCAGGCTGTCCAGCAGTTTACATAGACGAGCACCCATGTAGCGGAAGTTTTGCTCCTTGATTGACTGCTTGGTGAAAGTAAGGTTTTGCTACTAAAGATTGTGTGTCTTCTTAAACATGAGAAAAGTGGTCAAACCTGCTCGAAGAGTAATTCCACGGCGTTGCTCAGCACGAATTGGTTGCTCCGGAACTCGGCAAAGGTACCCTTCAGCTTTCGCTGAATGCTATCGAACATGCCCGGATTGTCGTACAGCTCGGCAATCACATCGGTCAGGTAGTCCAGCGCGAAGGTTTCGTTCTCAGAAATCTAGATGGGGAGAGGGACGTGCTCAAGTCATTAACGGGTTACGCTCACTGCGGACTAATGTAACAGTACAAATCACTAGAAAAAAATTATCTAAAATAAATGCAAGCACCTGCTACTAACAGTAGCGTTATAAATGCAGTATTTTTTGTTAAAAAGCAGACAACGGCGCACACATACACTGTAGGTAACTCATCTGGAAAATACGCTGGATGAAGGATGGGTGGTAGGAGACACATTCTTCAAATCAACCAACAAATGAAACAAGAAGCAATGAACCGATTCCGCTTAGTATGCAATTTATAGTTGTACTGAAAGCCAGCTAGGTTAGGTGGATCCGTCATGGATCCAAGACAAATTTCAAAAAACGGGGCGCGAAAGCATGCTCATACAAAGGATCAAACATTTTCGTGCATGTGTGTGAGTTTTACACAACTGGACCGGTCCCTACTCTTTGAACCAGCCCGGTATGTGTGCTTAAGATGCCCCTACCTGATCAGAATCGCCATCAGCCCCGAAATCATTGCTTCCACCGTGCATCCCGTGATGCTGCTGTTGATGATGATGCTGCTGATGCTGATGGTGATGCTGCTGGTGATGATGTTGCTGGTGGTGATGCTGTTGCTGCTGGTTGTGGTGATGTGGCTGCATATGAGAATTTTGCGCATTCTGTAACCTCGACCTCAGTAGGGAGTTGTTCTTGTTCCTATTGTCGTGCTGCTGCTGCTGTTGCATCATGCCACCACCACCACCGCCGCCGCCGCCGGGCCCACTGGCCTGATGGACGGCCGCTGCTGCCATTCCACCGAGCATCGGATGGTGCAGGTGATTGTTGAGTGCCGTCGACGAGTATCCCCCGAACGGATAGGTTGAACCACCGACGTTCTGGTGCAGCGGAAGATGGGACTGCTGCTGCTGTTGCTGCTGATGGATGTGATGCTGCTGGAGACGCTGCTGCTGAGAATGTTGAGGATAGTGTTGGTTCGGATGTTGCTGATGCTGGTGGTGGTTATAGTGCGAGGAGTTACGTATCTGGATTCGCGATTTGAATTTAGAAGACGACGGTGGTTGGTGTTGGTCGTGTGATGGTTCCGAGTGCCGATTCGTTCGAGTTTTCGTTTGCGGGAGGAATCGAATAGATGTGGTGGTATTTGGTTTTTGTGCAGACGCGTTTAGTAACGATCCGTGCAGTTTTAGGGACATTCGCAGAGGTTGTGTGTACAGTATAGAATATATAAATAGGATATGTATAGAGAAATATACAGGATTAGTAGGTTGCTCGGAATCCGTTATATTATTGAATTGCCTAGCTCCAGCCTAGGTGAGTAACTGATAGGGATTAGCAAATATCGATCGGAGTGGATTGTGCTGAATCCAGGTGTTGTTGAGTTTCAATATTGTATAACCATTTTAGCATTATTTTGGAAGAGCATGGAGACTTCAAAGCCTCGGATCCAGATGAACTTCGGTGATAGGAATCGGTGAACTACTGGGACTGGCTTGGGGCTCTTCTTTCGGTGAAATTCTAATTCTTAACATCTGGTGTAAATTCTCCGACGCTTTAGACCTCGAGAGTAGATCTTATGAACTTCGAAAGCAGATCAAAATATCCAAAAAGATTCAAGGAAAGGAGCTTTACGGATTGATTATTTCAGGGCCTGTAGTGAGTCACTAAAACGTCTAATTTCATGTCACTAAAGTCACTTTGCAACTATTTTAGCTAGAATTTATTTCAAGATTCAAGATATTTCATTCTTCTTGCAGTGTGTAGGATGCTGAGAATCGATCATGACAGTTAGGCCCTTATGATTCTGATCGCTAGGATTGTCATTTTTCGATACGTTTGTTAATGCTTTGACTAACCAATGCCACCTTTTACGGCACTGCATTGTAAAATAATCAGGAAATTGGTTCACTTAACTTAATCCAAAGAGAGAATCGATCATCACAGTTAGACCCTTATGATTCTGAACACTAGATATATCCAGGAAAGTCCAACAGAACATTTTACCGTAAAATTAAGATCACGATATCATTTGAAAAACTCTCGTTGTTAACAATCAATCGCTGTCACATTTTTTTTTTAAATTGTGGAGCAACTGTGGCACAAACACACCTAGATACAACACTTTCCCCCCTAACCCGTTGCTGATGGTTAATCGTAGAAGTTTAACCGCATCCATGCTCTCGATATCGATATGCCAGAGCTATACACTAGTGGAAATAAATATAAAGACACATAAAAAAGCATGGCGCCTACCAAATATAAGAATCAGAGGAATTCTAAACCATGTATTTTTGGAAGCCACATTATCATGCTACAATATCACCCATAGAAATAACCAATTGCATCGTGTACGCAGGGGAAATAAATGGAAATGTGATTTTCTCCTTCGGAAATAAATATAAGGACGCCATACAAAAATGTATGGGAAATTGGTCATTTTCGAAACATTACTAAGCATGTCAACAATTCTTGTAGCACCAAAATAACCAAAGAGTTAGTTAAAATAATAATAATTAAACTTAATTTCTGAAACATTCTAAGCAGATCCAATCGCTAGAAGTTATCGAAAATTACAAAAAATCATTGGTTGATCAGCGATGATTAATTAGGTGATACATACATTTAGGCGTTTTCCGAGTTAGAATGTGTCTTGAGATGTTCAAACAAATTAATAGGAAGATGACCTGTGTTTATTTAGTTACACTAAAACTGATATCTAGTAAAAGTGAGGGGGTGACGGGCCTTCGCGCTCTTCCCATCTTCCTATTAATTTGTTTGAACATTTCAAGACAAATTCTAACTCGGAAAACGCCTAAATGTATGTAGCTCCTAATTGATCATCGCTGATCAACCAATGATTTTTGTGATTTTCGAGAACTTCTAGCGATTGGATCTGCTTAGAATGTTTAAAAAATTAAGTTTAATTATTATTTTAACTAACTCTTTGGTTATTTTGGTGCTACAAGAATTGTTGACATGCTTAGTAATGTTTCGAAAATGACCAATTTCCCATACATTTTTGTATGGCGTCCTTATATTTATTTCCGAAGGAGAAAATCACATTTCCATTTATTTCCCCTGCGTACACGATGCAATTGGTTATTTCTATGGGTGATATTGTAGCATGATAATGTGGCTTCCAAAAATACATGGTTTAGAATTCCTCTGATTCTTATATTTGGTAGGCGCCATGCTATTTTATGTGTCTTTATATTTATTTCCACTAGTGTATAATAGCGATCCTATACAGGAAAATATGTACACAACCACATTCACCAGTCACACCGTCAGCTTTCGCTCTTGTCGCCCTCTGGATTGCGACACCGCACGTCGCGCACATTCCCCTGAACCTCCATTCATACGTAGTAGGTAAATCCGATCGTCTCTGGCGTTCAACGTCCAATCATGCATGCCAATAATTAGGTTTAGCTTTTAGCATCGTATCTTATGCACTCCGGCCAACCATTATTGCCGCTATCACCTTCGTTTATTAAACCAACCAACTTAATTCTCTTCCCAGTAGCACACCCCTTGCAGCACAACACACACACGTGACGCACGCTCACCTGGCACTAGGACCTAGCACTCTAGCGCAACAATTCTAATTCCATGACCCAGAAATTGACCCTCTACTTACATCCTTATTATCACTGTAGTTACTGTGTCCTCCTAGCTGCTGCTGGGGTCCCGAATTGTTCATCTGAAGATTTTTTAGCCGATCGGCAAGCCCCGATTTTCCTATGCCTATGTCCGTTCCGTTGACAATGGCTCCATTGCCGGTGTCCACTGGTGGGTAGTGTGAAGCAACGGACACCATGTTGTATGTCCCACCACCGCCGCCGCCGCCGCCTCCTCCTCCTGTCGTTCCGTTATTGTCCCCTCGGTAGCGATGCTGTTGATGGTGCTGCTGCGGTACACCGCTACCGTATTGTGATTGATGTGGTTGCTGCTGTTGAGGGGGTACAGTTTTCTTCGGGACAAACTCCGGAGCGTTCACCGAGAGGCTCAAAACTGCATCATTGGGGAAAGAAAAGGAAACATTATATTGGTGAGTATTTATACAATCGTTTTTAAAGGAAAAAAAATGACGATTGCAATTTTGAAATCTCGATTACTTTTTCAAAGGGACGTATAGCTGCTTTTTTAAACAAAGATTCAAACGTCAATTTGTCGAAATTCTCAGAAAGAGTAATGTTGGTGTTAATTTGCATGCATACGTCGCTTTGAAAAAGTAATCGAGAAACGTTTAATATGATCATTATCACAGCCAGCATTTCTGTATGCGGGAGGAAAGAGGTGGGGTTTGTCTGTCTATTTTTTACTAAAATTTCAATTCCTAAAAGATTTTAAAAGCTGTGTTAAGTGAGCAGTGGAGACAACCAGAGAAACGATTCCCAAATTTAGCAAAAATCTCGTTTACTAATTCTAGGAAACAATTTATAAGGGCATGCTCAGGGTGTCTACTCAATCCAAGGAATCAAATTCCCTGAGTTTTCCAGGTTTTTCCAGGTCGGATGAAAAAAATTCCAGGTGCATACAAATTATACACATTATTATTTTATCGAACCTCCCTGTTTGCTGGTGTTCACACTGCTTGCACATGTCGAAAGAATTACCGGAAAATTGCTCTAGTTTCGGCAGACGTATTTGCTTTTATTATTTTAAATAAAATGAGAAAGAGAAGGTGAACTTTGTGGAGTAGGAAATGGTTGCTCAGGAGAATCACCGGCAGGGATTTGGCTCATCTTGTCCATCAAGAGCTGCGATATGAAGATGAAAATGGATTTCAAAACTTCGCCAGGATGTCGATACCAACTTTAGACAAGCTAGTGGGAAAAGTTCTCACTAGATATACATGATTCCTTGACTTCTGAAAATTTCTGTTAACAACTCAATTCTGCAAGGTCTTCAAACCTTCTGACGTCCCTGAAGTTTTGTTTCTGTTCTCCGGTAAAATTTCCTTAAAAATCAACAATCTTTCCTGACAATCTGCAAATGTCTCGGTAGTTCTACAGATTTCTTTGAAGTTCTGTGTGTTCTTCAGAAGTTCAGCAAATTTTCCTAAAAACCTACAAAGTTCCTGAATCCCTGAAGATTTAAGATCCTTGAAGATCAACAATTATCTCTGATGTTCACAACATTTCTAATAATGTACAAACTTATCGAAAGTTCTTTAATTTTCTCTGCAGATTTTCATGATTCAATGAATATCTGCAAATATCTCTGAACATCTATACAATTTTCTAAAGAATTAAAAGATTATCTAGACATTTTTGAACTTTTCGGAAGTTTTAGGAAGTATTCGTTTTTCTAATTTTTCTGAAGCTGTGCAAATATCTCTAAAGATCAGCGAACTTACCTGAAGTTCTGTGAATGTCTTTTAAAATCCAAGAACCGCAGTAAAATTCTGAAAATTTATTTAAACATCTGCTAATTTTTGAGTAGATTTACGACCTACCCTCTGAACTTTTCTAAAGTTCCTAAAATTTATTTCAAATTCTGTAAAGTTTTCTGAAGTACTGTATTTCTGCTCTAAAGATCTACGAACTGCCCTGAAGTTCAATAAATTTCACAGTAGATCTCCGAACTTTTCTAAAGTTCATTAAATTTCTTTGTGGATTCTTGGACTAAAGATCGGCGAACGTTCCCGAAGATCTGTGAGTTTTGCTGAAGTTTTGCAAATTTTTCTAAAAACGTACGAGCTTTCTGACGTTCTACAGACTTCTCTTAAGGTCTACGGACTTCTCTGATTTAGATCTTTAGATTTATCTATTTCCGACTTCCATGGAGTTCTGCAAAATATTGTACTTTTGTACTTCGCTGCGATTTGTTTTTGGAATTGAGATGCTTTTCTGACATTTAACGAATTTTTCTGAAGATCTCACATTTGTGTGAAACTGTGAAACTTTCCGTCAAATTCCTGCAAATATCTTTAAAGTTCTGTAAAGTTGTCTTAAGCTCCGTAGCTCTATTCCCAAGATCTACAAAAAAAACTTGAGGCTCGATAAATTTCGCAGTAGATCTGCAAACTTCTCTGATGTTTTGTAAATTCTTCTAGGGTTACCCTGAAGATTTGAAAATTTCCTTGAAGATTACCTCAAGTTGTCAAAATTTATCAGAAAATATTTGAGCTTCCTTGAAGTTTTCAATGTCTCTCTCAAGATCTACAAATTTTCCTGAAATCGTGTAAATATTTATTTTTTTAAATCCCTGAAGTTCTGCAATTTTTCCTGAAGATCCATTAACATTTCTGAGATTCTTGTGATTTTTTCAGAAGTCCTGTGATTTTTTTCAAAGTTCTGTAGCTTTGTTCTGAAGATCTACGAACTTTTGTGATGTTGAATAATGTTTCGAGGATCTCCAAACTTCTGTGAAATACTTTATATTTCACTGTAGATTCTTGGACTTGTCTGAAGTTATGCGAATTTCCCTGAAGATTTGTAAAATTTCGCTTATAGTTTTACAAATTGATTTGAAATTATTTTTGCTTGCTTGAAGTTTTGAAAATTTCTTTGAACATTTATCTGAAGACCTTGTGAATTTGTTTTTATGAATTTCTGTTAATAACTTTTAATTTGTTTGTAGTTCTACATCTACGAACTACCCTGAAGCTCAACAAATTTCTCAGTAGATCTCCGACCCTCTCTGAAGCTCAAAAAAAAAATTCTATGTTGGGTCTCAGACCTGCTGTCTGGCATGCTTATTCTTATACAATACATGCTTCGTATGCTTCCTTTTGACGGTTGCCAGTCTCTCTTTTTCGGCTGTTTCCTTTTTACGACGATTTTGATCCTCCACATACAAATCAGCGAAGAGCGAGCGTAACAAGACTCTCTGAATGAACTTGTCTCGTTCGCACACGTTGTCTTAGCTGTCAGATGCTTGTCAAGTTCAGTGTCCTTAAGAAACGTTTCGAGAAACTGAACGAAAAACTTCTTTTGAATTACGAATGAAGTGATAATTGGAAAATTCCCTGAGTGGAACCAAAATTCCCTGAATATTCCAGGTTTTTCCAGAAAAAATAAAATTCCCTGTAAATTTTTGGTTTTCCAGGTTTTTCCAGGTAGTAGACACCCTGATACTTAGATTGTGTTCCATTTGGAAAATGTTCACTTAGATTTGACACTTCGAAAATAAATTAAGATGTTCGAAAATCCCTCTGTTGTTGAGCGGTCGACTTTCGAGAAAGTGTCTGTCAAAATTGATGTCTTGTCTGTCAGAAATAAGTCTGCTGGAATAGCAGGTTTATTTGAAAAATTTCCATCTGTCAAATTTAAGTAAAAAATCAACAAATGGAACACAGCCATTAAATATAAATTTTCACTGATGATCAGGGATGCCAAGTGATTTTTTTTGAAAAATTTGGCTGTTGTAGATTTAAAAGTCTGGATTTGTCTGGATGTTCTTGACAATGATGATGTTTATTATAAGTGCATTCAAATGCCATTTGTTTTCAGCAGAAAAAGGCTATACGTTTGTTACATTTTTGATAAACGTTGAAATATATTAAAATTTGATGTGGCCAGGGCCCCAAAAAGTCACTTTCAATCGAAAATCATCAAGTGACGATGAAGCTGTAAACCATCACTTTCAATTGAAAGTCAATCTGCCTTCTGTTCGAGCAGATCCCCGTCAACATCAACAGAACCACTTTAGATCAGTTTTCATGCTGTTTGTTTTGGCTTGACTCGTGTTTTTTCTTCTTTCATTGTCAAATGAACTCTCGCGTCACTTTTCAAATAGACCAATGTAACATATCCACATTTTGAGAAAATAGAAATTGAAGTTTGACAGATTATTAATTTAACTGTTTAAAAACAATACATTTTGCAATACTATTTTTAATGTAGTCAGTGTATAATAACGTTTAAAAATTCAGAAGAAACTGTAAAATCACAATTTTACTTTGAATTTCATGCTACAACATAGAAAAAAACACAAAGAACGTTTTGACAAGTCGAGTTGTACATCGGACATGTTACATTGGACGATTTTTCTCAATGACGTAATCAATGAGTGTTACATTGGACGTTTTGTCTACATGATACTAGGTTCCCTTTCACAGATTTCAGAGTAAAGTACCTAACTTTAGATTGGCCCCGCCTTTGGAAAATGAGCACCAATCATGTTAGGCAGTCCGAATGACCGAAGTAACAATGATGTACCCATCATTTCAAACTGTACATTGGACAATTTTTGATCAATGATTATCTTAAATAAATGAAAGTAAATTTGGATGGATGTTTTTGTATCACATACAATGATAGAAGAGCAATAGTTTGTATCGCTTAACTCGATTTGTTTACATTTGTTACTTAGGACCTTTTGAAAAGTGACGCGAAAACTTACTTTTGCATTGAACCGAAGCTGTTCGATCCAAATTCGCGCAGTTTTTATGACTTTTGTTGAATGACGCGTATGCCTGTGCGCATGTCGTATGCGTATGCCTGGGCGCATAGATCTGTGCACGTGGATGTCAAATTTATCATTGCCGGGTGGTTTGTTTATCCAGCAATATGGGTATTTTTTTTTATCGGGATGACGTCTAGAGATCGAAAATTGATATTCGACGCCATTTTTAAATCCAAGAAGGCGGCTTCCAGTTTAATAAAATGTGGGAAATACTGTCAAATACCTATCAATAAAGGTATTTTCGGAATCTGGATGATGTCTAGAGAATGAAAATCGATATCCGACGCCATTTTGAAAGCGGAAATACAGACAAATACACATCAATATTGACATTTTTGTAATCAGTATGAAGTCTACCGATCGAAAATTGATATGCGACACCATTTAGAAATCCAAGATGGCGTCTTCCGATTTCAGAACAAATGGGAAATATTGTCAAATACCCATCAATATCATTTTGGAATCGGGATGGCGTCTAGAGGTTGGAAATCGAAATCCGACGTCATTTTGAAATCCAAGACGGCGACTTCCGATTTGCGGAAAAATGTCAAATACCTTAAAATATGGTTATTTTCAGAATGGGGATGAGACGTAGATGC